TCTCGAGCCAAGCACCGATGTAGGGCGAGAATAGGTCAGTCATCACCGCCATGAATGTTGCAATTGCGTTGCAGTCCCCCTGCTGGAGGACGTGACTGACCATCGTTCCATCTGGGGTTGCCATCAGGGTGTACGGTACATCATCAGGCTCCACACGCACTTGCTCGTACGCGCCCTCCAAGTCCATCGCCGTAAAGTAGCGACTGGCCGCCACCCGTCGTCGAATGGCGTCTTGGTCAGGCAACGGCGACGACATCTTGCGAGTATTGTCATTCCGCGCGCGTAAGTCGACCGTGTTCCGCATACCTCCCGAAGGTTTACTCAAAAACATGATCGGCGCAGCGTTTGTTCCGCTCGCGTACTCCCACCGTCCAGATTTTAGGAAGATATCACGCTTGGTGTTCCACTGCTCCCGGAACCCTTCCGGACAACGCGAAGCACGAAACGGGTATCGCTTTTCCTTATCAATAATAGGGATACGATGGTTAACCCGACGCAACGGAGGTAATGTCGTCTCTGCAGCTTTCTGGTATAAAGGGGACGCGTACTGATGTAGCTCCCTTCGGATATCATCCAGAGATCGCTCCCGAACCTTTGCGGCCCTGGACGCAAGGATACTAACGTCGTCACCAGCACGAAGGCCTTCGGGCGTCTCGCAGCCGACAATCACTCGCGACGGGTTCAATCCGACCATAATTTTATGCTGCCAAATGAACGGCGTCCCCAGTATCAAGTCATAGCCGTCGATATTCATGATGTCAAAGGTACGTTTACACGCGATGCGAGCATAGCTCAGGTCCACCTCAGTGTAATAATTCACCTTGGTTTTAGACCCCTGAGCAGCCAGCTGCACAGTCAGCTGAGTATCCACAGGTACCTTCTCGACCTTCAGCTGTTCCGCGAGCGCGCTCGACATAAAATCGCCGAGCGACCCGGAATCAAGTAAGGCACGACACTCATGTCCGTTTATTCTGACCGTGAGCACGATAGGCCGAGGTATCTTCCTCCCCACCGTCTTTACCCGTGCTGCGGTTCTCTGCAATGAGGCGAAGCTCCCCTCCGGCGGCTGCTTTACCTTCGACATATGCACTCGGGTCATCCGATCAGATTCGACGTCAGTACTCGAGGCATCCAACCCAACGCTAGCTGCCCGGAACCATATGGTATCGTCGGCGCCAACAGCGTATAGAACGCCGTCGACGAGGAAGACCTCACTCTCTGGAACGCCATCCGTGGCGCCCTCGTCCTCGTCGGACGAAGGAATACGGAACCGCGTCCCAGGTGGGTACTCGCCCATCTCCGACTCTGATTCCTCACTACTGCCAGATTCCTCTGAGGCCAACGGAGCCTGCGTGCCCTCCTCCGCCCATCGAGGTTCACCCCAATTCCATTCTTGGAGAAAGTCGGCATCTTCCATCCCGAGTTCGTCGCGGTCGAACCGCCTGGCGATGTTGACGAACTCAATCATTCGGGCTCGATACCAACCGACGAAGTCGAAACTCCGCCGCATCAACAGTTCTTGAGGGACTTCAAGTGAGGTACTAAGGTATGGCTCATTCATTACCCACGGCGTATATCCGTCCTCATCAAGCACCATGTAAGAGTCGATAGCGAACTCCTGCGTCCATATCTCCCATAGGTGCGGGAGCCGGTCGATTTGCGCCTCAACGACCATCCCCATGCGGTTGGCGACAGGGTCACCAAACCGCGAGGAGCCCTCGATAAAGGCGTCGCGTTCCAGCCTATGCAATCGTACGGCATCCGGACACACGAAGGTACTATCCGATCCCTGTCTTTCATATGCTTCACAAGCTTGACGCACGCGGTGTGTCATTCCCCGCGTTACAAGGTAATCTATAATCCATCGGTACCATCGGCGTCGATACCGCCGGTACCAGGCATGCGCATCGCGGTCTAACACCCGTCGCACTACGTACGGAGGGGGGTTTCCAAACGGATCCAGCCCGTCGTCCCGTATGAACGCTGTGTCGGCCGCATCATCTCGTTCCTCGTCGTTCCCGTCTAATCGGAACCTTACTGATCCACAAGGTAATTCGTCTAGCAATTCAGGGTCATCGTCATCATTGCCCAGGGCAGAGCCATCAACCAAGTCATCGCCATCCGCAAACCGTACGGCGTAACTAGTCTTTGATCCTGGAGCTTTATCTCGCGAATTGCTCGTAACCTGCTGCCCGTCGGGGCAATTCCGACTCATATGCCCGGCCTTGTGGCACTTAAAACACAGGTTATTTTCCAGATGTTCCTTCATCTGGGCGTCAGATAACGGTGAGTCCGTTTTAGGGTCCCGATCCCGTCGTTTGGGCCGGCTACCATTCCTCAGCGTACCTGACCCGGTCTCTCTGACAGGCCCATTCGACTTTGGGTCAGAATTCCCTGGCTGGCTACCATTGTTACCGCCCCGCCCGGGGTGGCCACTGCTACCGCCGCCCCTCCGGTTCCGGCTGTTTCCTGCCCGCTCGATTCCATAGCGAGAAGATCCAGAGGCAGCACTACCGCGATGTAAGCTATTGTTAATCACCCGCTCGGCGATCAGCGCGCTCTCCAGCACGTCCTCATACGTATCAATATCAGGATGTAGACGGTCTCGATACAACTCCTGACTGATCTCGTCATTTAGACCTTGCCAGAACCGATGAACGAACTGTCGATCGGAGATTTCTCCACCAAGATCATCGCGAAACCCCTCCATTGTGGCCGCATACACTTTCACTGACGATCCCTTCTGCATCCAGGTGTTCCAGCGCGCCCGGATGGCATTCATGAAGCCATCGGGAAAGCAGTAGTTGAACAATTCATCGAAGAACTGTTCCGCCGTCCACCGCTCAGGGCTCTTCACCACTCGGTTGAAGAAATGCTGCGCATCCTTTTCCAGAAAGTGACCGATCTTCGACACATGCCTTTCTCTCATAATCATGCCATCGATTAGATATTCTACGCTCTGCTCGACGTATCTCTGGAACGCATCAAGATCACTCCGACCGTCGTAGGCCTTCGGCGGCTCGGGCTTTATGTTCGGTTTGATTACCGATGTCCCTGACCGCTCGAGGGTAAGCATGGCATCTTCTAGCTGCCGGAGTTTTCGCTTCAATGTCTGTCCTAACGAACTAGCAGAGGATATGAATCTTGACGGAGGCGCGACCGACGTTCGCCCTCCTCGTTTCGACGTAGCGGACGCACTACCGACCATCATGCCAGGTCGGGCGGTGCTCAGGCTATGAATGCCTGTCTGATCGCTTGTGGGACGTTTCCCCGGCTCCGGCGACCCCACACGATGAGGTGGGTGGTCGCGTCCTTGTATGTCCTCTCCACGACGGCCGACGCTCGATCCACGGTCGCGCTTCAATGCGGCAACCTCAGCCGCCTGGGCATCAACCGTGGTGACCAGCATATCAAGCTTATCCAATACCTCGGCCAATCGCTTCTCGGCGTCGACCCGGGCACGTTCAGCTTCAAGTCTGGCCCGTTCCGCCTCCATCAGGGCAAGGTGCACGGTATCGCGTTCCCGTTTAGCCTCGCGGACCTCTCGCTCACATCCGTCCTTAAACACTTCAGCAGATTTTCGTGTGCGCGCGAACAGATCCTCCCAGGGCTCTTGCGACGATGTCTCCGACGAATCGCGGGCAGTAGCAGTGCTGATAGCTCCAGCCGGTCGTAACGAGGCCAGCGCCGCTCTCTGAGCTCCGACGTCGAGCTCTTCTTCCCCAACGCCGGCGTACCTCAACTCTGCCGTGGCGTCCTTGCCGGGGTTACCAGAGGGAGGCGTTTCCTTGATTTGAACATTACCCGCCCCCCTTCGCTCGGCAGTTTTACCCTTATCCACCGGGGTAGGCGTCTCTAGCAACGCGTCGAACTCTGCATCACTCATTGTTCTGCCCTCAGAGGCCAGCCGCTTGCTGTTAGGTTTCTTCGGGGTATGGGGCTCCTCGACTACGACCGGCGAGCCTACCATTTCGTCGCCATCCTCCTGGTCGACGAGAGACGTATCATGTAAACTAGTTAGCGAAGCGAAGCTGTTGTTATTGCTTATGACGCTACGCTTAGACAGTATGGGAGATGCACTCCGGCGTCTACGAGGTACTCTAGACCATGATCCGGTGTCGTCGCTCGACGCCCCACCGAATCCACCAATGACAAACGGGGATGGGCTGCGTGGCTCGCCCTTGAGCGCCAGTCCCGTCACGCTCGCCAGCCGCGATCCTTCGCGATGCGAGGGAGCATCAAGATAAGCGGGTAGCAAACCTTGAGGGACGTCAGCCCCGAGGCTCGATCCTGCATGATCGCTGGCCATCGGGGCATCTCCGCGGTGCGTAGCTCCAGCCTCGCCCGCCAACGGAGAAGAGGCAACGAGGTCAGGGGCAACCGCCCCGCCTACGTTGATATCGATATCTGACTCGGGCCGAGGGACTCTGTCTAGTCCCCCGGTCCTACGGTCGTTACGAGTCCAGCGACCCGTGAATTCGTCCCTAGACACAGGCATTCTCAGTGTATAGGGATGGGAAAGTAGAACACGTAGCTTGTGGTGCTCGCAGTCGCTGTGTCCTCAGCCAAGGTGTACCCGGGTGATCAAGCCGAGTATTGTCCTATCGAAGAGGGGTTAGCGACGACGAGCGATAACAGATTACTCACGAAACACTCTCAAAAATATGTGACGCGGGCAAAGCCGAATACGGCTAAGGTGCGTTCACACGGTAAGGTTCTCGAGCGGCACAACAACAGAGAGTTCAAGTCTCGATTGAGCAACTCGAGGTAAGATACGAAACCAAAAGGTAAAGGTCCTCGCGACGAGGCTGCTTGTCTTTTATACCTCGTCGCAGGCCCTTGAGCACATGGAAGTGGAGCAAAAGGATCAAACAGTCAAAAGGCGCATCAGCGCCGGATGCTAGAAAAGGAAAGAAGTTCTCGGTCTCGGCTTCCGGCAGGACCGGCACGTAACAAGTGGAGGCACGCGGAAACGGTGGTGGCGCTGCACGCCCTTCTCCCCAGCCGCCACCGCTCTCAACCACTCTCTCGTTTCGTCTGTTGCCTCGTTGCTATCAACATGTCTACAGCGCATAGGCCGACATGGGACCCAGCGCAGGCCCGCGATGTCAAAGGCGGCTCGCGACAGTTCTCGGTGCGGGACATGGCGTCGCATACCAAGCTCAAATTCCGGTGCGTCTCAACCCACCAGACCTGTGTTCATCCGGGAGCTCACTGTACCTCTTATGTATCGCGTCGCTTCGTAATAATATAGACAGCCTGGACAAACATCGACGTCTGACGTTGTGAAACGCGACCTGCGAGCCGAACTTCTTGCTGCTGAGGCAGAGGCGCGTGACAAGAAGCGCAAGGCGCAGGGGCTACCCCCGCTTGGTATCGAAGGCGCGCAGGCTGGAGCAAAGAGGCCTCTGGAGATAGAGGGAGGTGGTGTGAATGGCGCAGAGGATGAGGAGGCGGCAAAGCGAAGGAAGCTGTTGCAGGAGGCGCTTGAGATGGACAAAGACGATGATGACGACGAAGACGAGGGCACGAAGTCCAAGACCGGTGATGACGAAGAAGATGACAATGATGACGACGACGACGATGACGAAGAGGAGGACGATACCGCCGAGCTTTTACGAGAGTTGGAGAAGATCAAGCGGGAGCGAGCAGCAGAGAAAGCGCGACAGGAAGCGGAGCAAAATGAGAAGACGGCTGCGGAGAGGGAGGCTGAAATAGCGACCGCAAATCCCCTTCTGAACCTCGCTGCCGCTCTTGGCACGCAGCCGACCGGCGTGAATACCACAGTACCCGGGACGTTTGCGGTGAAACGGAGATGGGATGACGGTGGGTCACCACGGGGTGTGCTACGTATGAAACGAGACTGACGGTTGAATTGCGTGATAGATCTTATCTTCAAGAATCAGGCGGTCGAGCAGAAGGATAAAAGCGGGCACTTTGTCAACGACCTCCTCCGGACAGAATTTCACAAGTACGTGCGCTACCTGGGCTTGTTTTCTGAATGCTCCCTAATCCCCGTCATCAGGAAGTTCATGGCGAAGTTTATTAAGGTGAGTTGGCATCTCCGGCCGTTTCCTCGCACGTCCTGACCTTACTCTCAGTAACGTTGTGTATTATTGCTACCGTATGCGCATATACACCCGGTGTTCTAGGCTATTACTGCGTTCCTCGGACGAGCCGGTCCGATATGATGATTAGTCCCGCGAACGTGTTCGCCGTGTCCGCAGCGATTAATACGCCCTCGGACGCCGCCAAAATCTGCCGCTTGTCGACGACTCGATTTACTGACGGAGTTACAAAAGAAAATGCATAGCGGACGTAAACGTTCGGCCACGCCTGCCCATGCCTGCTCACCCAAAGCTTGCACGAGTAAGTCTCATTGGCGCTGCTGGCGGTAAACTGTTGAGCTCATACATAGGAGTCCCACACAAGGGAGCGTTTGCTACCCGGAACCCTCTGAAACGCGGCTTGACTGTCCAGGGGCGAGCATGTCTTGTTCACGCGGAGCAGGTGGTGACTGTATTGACTGTGATATGGGAAACAGATAACTGAATCCACAGTCCCGTCTCGCGCGTCGTCATCGTTAAATCTCTCGTGATACAGTCACCTCGAATTGCCAGTCGCCAGTGACCTTCGCTTTCCGAAACCAGAAAGGATTCATGCGTCCATCAGAGGGGGGCCCTGGACGGCACCTTGCTAGATTTTTGCACGATGCAATGAACAAATTCCTTCGGTCTGTGTCACGGATGGCAACGAATCTCCAAGTGCGCATTTCGCTTCCGCGTTGACCCCCCTAGCGGCGTACAAAGCTACTGTAGGTCATGGGAAAGTTACGCCTCGTGTTCCGCTTCTCCCCCGAAAGCTAGTGAAACTCGATTCCAACAAGAAATGAAGTCGACGGAACTGCTCAGCGTTCTGCGTCCTTTTCTTTCACCCAGGATTGCCGGAACGATAAACCGAACTCAGAACGCCGAAGAAGATTCTATCACTTGCTATCTGACTCTTCTCTGTGTTTACTCTGGAGTTCGCATTCCCACCTTCGCTCCAGCTAGGCTCCTTGGGCGGTACGCAACTGAATTCAGAGGCGCTGGGGGGCGGATCTGGATCGTTGACGTCACGTCGCAGATCTCTTCAATTGGCTACACGTTGCTGTGATTTTGACACCCTCGACTGCGCCAACAAAGCCATTCACAATGAATCCGGCGGATCCGAGCAAGTTTACATGCGGAGGGTGCGTTAGTCGAGATGGGGCGCATTGGTTTCTGCCGTGCGCGAGCGCTATGATACGGTACTGAAGAAGGCTATGGTACTGGGGCAAGTCTGCACATCTCTGATAGTCAAGATGACGACATGTGACCACTCACTTTGGGCATCGAACCTGCTCCTCCCGCGGCTGTACGACTCCCATACCGGGACATTGATACGGCACACAGCTGAAGAGCGTTGGAGCATGTCGTGTTTCGTGGAGGTTCTTCCCGTGGCACGTACGCGGAGACAGTTTTGCAACCACCGTCCCCCTGGTAATCGTCGTACACGCTGCAGCTCAAACGTACCGCGGCTGGCCACCTTTTACTTGCCAGTGGTATCGAGCACAACCTGCGACCGCGGATGCATTCTCGCCTTGGAACTCGTTACAGAACACGCCGAAGCGCCCGGTGTGGCGTCATGCGACTCTCGTTAGGGGCCGCGCCGGAAGCAACCTTCATGTTGTGGAATAGCCGCCGTCGACTCGGTCACTGGGCCGGAATCGGACGTCTCATAAGCTTACTTGGACGAACGTTCTGGATGGGTGGATGGGCCCGTCTTTCACCCTGTCGCGTAACACGCGTCATGTCCGGGTCATCTGGGTGCGCTGGGTCGCATTCGCTTTGGCGGGTTCCTATATAAGTTGCCTGCACGTTCCACATTGCCTTCGTCTCATTTTCATCGGACTTGCTCCTACTCTGGGAGTGCCACCAGACGACCTTTCATATCGACTCAGTGACGCTTTTCACGACCCGAGATGTTTGTCGACGTATCCAACCCTGTGAACGTGAACCCGTCGTCGTCCCCCATTCATCTGACGAGGGGCGCGGATGGTACGTCTCCTTGTCTGTCCAGGAGCGCAATACCGTGTTGATAGATGGAACTTCGTCAGATTGGCTGTGGGCGGTGTTTACCCTCATGGCTTTGTCTACGCTTGCCATGATATTTTGGTCGCACAGAGTGAGCGCATACGAACCGTCTCACGTTATCCAAGAAGCTGACCATTCCTCCAGCGCCCTCTGGGACAACGGGTTTTCCATCACATCCCCGTCATCGTCCTCACGACTATGACCGTCGCGTATTTCGCAATGGCTTCCAACCTCGGCCGCACGGGTGTCCTCGTCGAGTTTTCGCATGCCAGTCGCTCTGGCGTTCGCGATATCTTTTGGGTTCGATGGGTCATGTGGTTCATTTGCGCACCTCTGCTCATTCTCATGTTACTCCTCACTACCGGAGTCGCGCTGAGCGATGTCTTCCTCACCATCTTCATGAGCTGGGTGTGGATTGTCTGCTACCTTGTCGGCGCCCTCGTCGTCACTCGGTATAAGTGGGGATTCTGGGCGATTGGAACGGCGGCACTGTTATACGTGATGTACGTCTTCATTATCCCTTTTTGGGGTAGCTGGCTCACGGTCAGACAGTTGGTTGAAGCTTGGGCACTCGCGCCGCAGCATCTTCCCCGCTGGTCCTGCCACTCGCACCGGCTACACCGCTGGTGCCGGATATCTCTCGTTCTTCTGGCTCATCTACCCCATCGCGTGGGCGTGCTGTGAGGGGTCGAACCTGATCGGTATCGCGGGCGAGATGATTTGGTACGGCATCCTCGACCTGATCACCGGCCCCATCTTCCTCTTCTTCGTCCTTCACCGCCTCCGCAACATGGACTATAACGCGCTCGGTCTCTACAGCGCGAAGCACACGGGATATCAAGGTCTCAACGGTGCGGGTCCCGGCATGGTGGGTAACACTGGCGCAGGCGTGAACGCTGGCGGTACTACCATGGGCGGCGCTCCCGCGGGCGCGCAAACCATGGGCGGCGGTCCTGCGGGAGCGCAAACCATGGGCCATGGTGTCAATACCGGCGGCGCCGGGGGCATGCGCCACGAGAAGAATGCGACCGCCAACACCGTGGTCTAAGGAGAATGGTTGCCTGAAAAATGCTCCTTACGGTATATTCATATTGTACAAATAATCTTACGCGATCGCTTTTCTTCGGTCGGGTCTTAGAACTCTCGGACGATGTTGCGCTAGTATTTCGCGTCTTATACTCAAACACGATGTAGATGAAGCCTCGGATGTAATGCGACTAAGAACCTTTGCACACAATTCCTTTACCGGGCACGACTGGAAGATCGTGCTTGTTCTTGAGGGTGATCGGGTCCATGCTAAATCGCCGGACCGAGTTGTCGGACGTCACATGACTCAATACCTGTGTGCCCGCCGCACAGCTTGAGGCGCCATCCGGCGGACCGAGGAGAGCAGCCTTACAGACAATGGAGTTCCTGTCGCAAACATACGTCGCCTTGCGTGGACCCGCCGGCGCTCCCCAAACAGCTCATGATACCATCGCTCGTCTAGTTGACCGCCTGTCACCCTCCACTTTGCTGGCGGACCGTCGCGCCGCAGTGCTGTCGCTCAAGGGCCTCTCGCGGGATCACAAGCAGGAGATCGGCGAACATGCCTTGGATGGGCTACTGGAAGTTCTGGAAAATGACGCCGAGATTGACGCGGACATTGCCAAGGCCGTGCTCGAGACGTTGCATACGTTATGCGATACCGAGGATCCAAAGCCCGGCGCGAAGGAACTCGGATTCAAGCACAGCGACCAGGTGCTCGTCAGTGATAGGCCTACGCACAAGCTCTTTGCTCTTCTCGGAGATACCACGTTCTATGTCCGCTTCGCCACGCTGCAGCTGCTCGCTACCCTCTTGCAGAACCGTCGGCAGGTGGTACAAGCCTACTTTCTCAAGGCCCCCGCTGGACCGTCGAGCGTGATAGCTGCGCTTGAAGACAAGCGAGAGATAATACGGAATGGTGGGTGTTGAGACTTCTTCTCGAACGCGAGGTTACATTATGTCTAGAGGCCATGATCATGGTTCAAGCCCTAATCTCCCAAAGCCCGGATATCCAGAAGGTCCTTGCGTTTGAAGGAGCATTTGAGAAGCTGTTCAATACCATAAGACAAGAAGGCGGCGTTGAAGGCGGCGTGGTAGTGCAGGACGCGCTTGCGTGCGTCGATGGTTTGTTGAGGTTTAACTCGTCAAATCAGGTAAGATCGTCTTTTCGCTGCCCAGCGCAGAAGCGACATGACTGATCATCAGTCAACTCCTTCCATAGAGCTATTTCCGTGAAACGCCTCTGCCCCCTTTGCTCTGTGCTCTGCTGTTATTCCCGCCGAACCTTTCGCCTCAGGAACCCTCCCCACAAGAATTTGCACTCCAATTCTGGGAGCCCCAAAAGACCAAGAACGCAGGCTTGATTATTGGTATCATTGGTATGCTTGTCGGCTCCAAAGGCGGAAGTGTATGTTCGTCATTCGGGCTGTCACCTTCACGAAAAGCTGATGTCTGTAACAGCTTCAAGAAACCGCTGTTTTCACCCGTTGCTTGATTGAGATCGCGCTGGCATCCAATGCGCCGACGCCGCTGAAGACGCAGGCATTACGACTGTTACCTGCTAACTTGGCCATACCGCTCTCCGGTCTCGTGCTCACGCCGTATATGCCCGTGCCTGATACCAACGGCGAAGAATGGGATAGGCTGGAACCCGCCTCCGCGCTGGATGTACTGGTTGAACTAGTCCTTCATGGCGAATACAACAACATCATCGGCCGGCCTCGCGGCAGAGACAACCTCGAGCTCCGATCCGCAGCGCTCAGCATGTTCGAGGTACGCTCCTTTAATGCTGAAACTGTCTGATTTTGCTGACAAGGATATTTGCAGAACTTCGTTCGAAGAGACGACATGAACGAGACTATTCTACAAGCTATGCTCCCTTTCGAAGGAGAGAACACTCCTCCGCCTATCACGCCTCTGCTGCACGCGCTCATCGCTCCGCCCACTTCGCCGTTGGATTCCGAAGCGGTGGCGTCTACGCACTTTGCATCACTTCTTTTCGCGCACCTCTTGCGGGGATCACCACAGGCGAAGACGCTCGCCCGCGGCATCTTCCCGCAACCTATTTCGGCGGATCCTAATGCCGTAGGTGGCCAGTTCTTCGTGCCCGCCGACGGATCCGCTCCACCGCCCGCCCCGGAACCGGAGCCGGAAGAGGAAGAGCCGCAGAGCCTGCTGCAGATACTCAGTGAGCATTTGTCGTTGTCGTTCCTATCCCGTGCAAGGGCGGACACCTCCGATCGGGAGAAGAGAGAGTGGGACAGGCTCATAGTAGGATACTCGTGTTTGTTGTCGGAGTGGCTGTGGGAGGATCCCAAATCCGTGCGCGATTTCTTGCAAGCGGGAGCGTTGGGCATGGTGTGTCTGTCTCTCTCTGCGTCAGCCATGGGTAGCACTGAAAGATGGCATTGCAGTTAGTTGAGCCTGTGAACCAATCTACCGAAGTGGACGTGGTTGTCCCTGCTCTGTGCGCTTTCCTGCTGGGCGTCTGTTACGAGTTCAATCGCGAGCCAGGCGAAGTCACCAGGCATGTTCATGTTAAACCCGGGCGCATATAATCTGCTAACTGTAACGTGCAGAGCCACGATACACCCCATCCTCAGTCGTTTGGGCATCGAGACACTCGTTGGACGTATGACCCGTTTCCGCGAAGATGAGCGCTTCAAGGCGATTAGCCCAGAGTCGATCGTTCTCCCGTACCCAACGCCGGCGGAACTCAATCCTGGCCTTCGTGCGGAAGGTGACGAGGCTGAGGTCTGGTTCGACTGGGCTTTTGTCGACTTCTGGAAATCCAACTACTGTGAGTCATGATCACTGGTATTGGCGTTGCTGTTCGTTGACGAAATCTATATCTCAAGATCTCATTCAGAGAGGCATCGGCTCGGATCCCAATTCATCGCCGTCGTCGTCGTCGTCAGGTACCCGAAATTTTGGTCCGGATCACGATTGGGTAGCTAAGTGCATTTCCAGGCCAAAGCGCAGAGACCGCGATGTTGGTTTCGTCGCTGCGTGAGGTGATCTCAAACCAAGCGAAGGAAATCGAATCCCTTCGCACCAAGCTGCAACAAGTCACCACGAGCAAAGATGCCGAGGCAAGTCTGACCGCTTCGCCATCGTAAAACGCATAGTTGATCCTGCTTCTTCGTTTTCAGCTTGAGGCGCTCCGGGTGCAGATGACCTCTTTGACCAGCGAGCTCCAGGCGTCATCCGAGAAGCAGAAGGAGGCGGAGAAAGAACAAGAGGATCTGCTGGTGCTGTTGGACGAACTGAGCAACAAGCGCAAGAACGACAAGGCGAAGATGCGGGCCGCTAATCTTGAGGTGTCCGAGGATGAGGCGGAAGATGACGACGAGGACGAGGGGTGATCGTTATGCTCATGTATGCGTAGGGCTACGCTGCGAACATGATCACACAAGCCGTCGTTGAATCTCTCTGCTGAGAGGGCTCAAAGGACGATGTTGTCGGTTGCCAAGTGAATGCGAAACGCCTCCGCGTTGTATTGATACATGCAACTTCAAACATTTGCAAAACAGAGGCATCTCTTCTTAGCATGACAGCTCTCTAGTGATAGCCCGCGGCCTCGGAGATCGACAACATTGCCAACAATATTGAATGCCCGCTCCTTCCGTCTATTCAAGAGCGTCGATATTCTCAATGATACTGAGTTGAAGCTGCGTTGCGGATCCCTAGCCCGGCCGCGCGGTACGCATTTGCGATCGCGCTCATGACAGCCTGAAAAATGGAAGTAATAGTCAATGGAATAGCGAGTTGCATACAGCCTGGGACTGGGCAACAGCCTTCGGGGAAATCATCAGTACCAGCTACGGCGAATCGATACATCTGAATACTTACGAGACGGAGCTGTGCCTGCGCCTGACGGAATATGAGCACACCCTCTCTATTCAACACCCGGTGTACTGACTGACCTCTTGTTGTTGCCTGATAACGAGCTCCTCCTTCTGCAACTCTACATCGCACGGTGGTAAGAAAACTGTATTGCATCCGCGCAGCGTTCACCACGCACCGGTTCGTTCCTCGGGTGTTTCTGCTACGCGCATGAGCTCCGTCAGAGCGTTTTGCATATTGTTCGGTAGGGAAAGTTTCCACTGTATAGTATTGCCCTTTCGGAACCTGAGTAGGAAATATTGTGGATCATAGAAGCAGATCGAGCTAGTAAGATCAACGGTCCATCCTGAACCGAGTGCAGCTTGTTCCGACAGTGCCTGAAGACGTATCAGAGATGAACGATGTACTCCACGGGTGTGATAATCATGCCTTGTAGAGGGGATGATTCGGATCGTCTGCCTTGCCACTGAGTTCAGCGGAGAAACCTGTTTCGAGGCTGTACAAGTGCGTCCCTCCTGAGCCAAATATGATACCCCGCAAACCCTGATCGAAATCGGAAAACTGCTTTCGAAGGTCGAATATCTTGTGCGGGTAGTTGTCTGGAAAGGTCCCGTCCCAGCCACCAGCCGCGACGTGCTTCAAGAAATGGCCTTCTCCATCCCCACAGAAACTGACGAACTGAGCTTTCGGCTTGCCATTATTACCTTTCAGATGGTCTATAATATTTGGGTCCACATCATTGCTCCAGCTGACTGATTGTCAACTCAGTCAGTCATATGTGACAGAGGAGGGCAGGAGGACGGACTGTCGCCAGTAGCGAAGTTGCGGGCGACCCAGCTTCGGCCGTTCAGATGCAAACTAGGTTCCTCAGGGCAAGTCAGTATGATGTCAGCCACTGTATGAGAACACTCACCTGACGAATTCCAGAGACATCGGTGCAAGCTTTCCAGATTGTATCATCTCAATCAGACTAGCTGGCACATTCTGAAGCAAGGGGTTGAGTACGTCCTTGAGGTTCACTCGAAGCTCAACAATTACAGTGTGCGTGAAGCGCCTGCCATAACAAACGAGCCACGAGTCTGGGTTAGGCCCAAAGACGACAAGAGGGATGGGTTGCCCCATGAGAAAGGAGGCAGGGCGAGGGGCTGTCGAGGTTGGCGTTACTGAGGAAACATATAAGAAACAAGACCTGTCAGGATAGACAGATGCATCTGTAGGGAGCAAGTGCAACGACTCCGGACAAACAAGCTTGGCGCGCCCACGAATCGGCCGATCAATCGCGGCCTGAATGAAAACGCCGGCGCACAGCACCGCACGGCGAATTTCACCACTGTCACCAGATTTGATATCAAGCTGTGCTTAGGGACATGCTAATGCGCATCATCGCCCGCGTTGTACGAGAATCGTTGACTCATCATCCCGGGGAGGGCAACATTGAACTCATCGCCGACAGGGCAGCAGTTAAATACGATCCGACTCTGGAACGAGATATTTCTCGCGCAAGTCCAGTCGACAGTGGGTTCACAGGAAGAGCGACCCCGGAATCTGCACAGCAGGATCCGAAATGAAAGAGCTTACCAGATCATACCATTTTATCCCTGGTGGAATCACGCCCGAGTCGATTCGCAATGCGCATTTATAGCCATGGTCTTCATATTCCGGATCGCTGCAGCTGTACGGCGCAGACATGCGCTGTCAGCCCTCAGCGCTGCCGACCTTGACTGTGATCTTGAGTGGGAATGGAGATATTCCCTGGATAGACCCCAATTATAATCGACGCGAGGGATGATGGGGACATCGAACATACGGAGGCGCTGGTGATCAACGGAACGGCGGATCTTCCCTGTTCGCTCGAGGTGTGCATCAGGATGGTTGTGAGCGTCTTTTGCAGTGTTTGCGAGAGCTCTGCGTCATTTCCGGCCTTCTGGCGGGACGATAAGGACTGTATGGTCGCTGTGATGGTCCTGCATGCCACACTCATGAGAGAGTTGATTGTACAATCCGCCATACTCACCATTGCTCCCAAGGGACTTCCTCCTGAGAAGCTGGTCAATGAAGTGTATGATGGAAGATTGTCCGGAGCATACTAACCTCGGAACTGGCGTAGACGGAGAACCAGGACGACTTGCGTTGCTTCTTCTCAGACATAACAACCAGGATCTGGGGGAGGTTATCGCGTCATAAGTGATTGCAGTAAAAGAAGAGGTTACCTGTCCTCGTTTCGTTGGTTCCCCTTCAACCGCTTTATAGAAGAAATCGACTTTATCTCTGATGATCTGTTCGATATCTGGATCTGATACACCGGGCTAATGAGTTAAGAGAAGTTAGAAAAGAGGTTAGCATAACCGTGCTATTGACGGATGCTAGGACACACCATGGTCACGTCGAGCACCTCAAAAGCCTGCGGTTTAACGCAACCGAATAGCCGATGGAAGAGAATAGAATGCAGAACTGCGGTGAGTACATCCTTCCCATTGGGACGGTCCAGAGTCTATGGGAACCTCCCCCTGAATATCTGACCGGTGCTAGTCCAGCTCGGTTTGCTCACCAAATCGATGGAGATATTCGGATAAGGTGGATTCATTACGGATCAGATGACAGGTGTGCAGTGGCCGCAAAGTCCTCGGTGAAGTCGGGGCAACTTGCCTGAAGGCATGCACATCCGGATGCTCGTGGTCGACGTCGTCAAAGTCGGATTCGCGACCACCGACATTGACTTGACACGTGAGCCGTGCCTTCCTCGGCGAGTCGAAGCTACGGAGTCTACGACTCCATCCAGTGGCATCTGACGCCCGACCGCGGATGACAATCATGCAGCGCTTGAAAGCGCTGACTTCGCGTTTCACCGAGAACACTACCGGAAAAACTCCACTCTTTTCTGTTGGCACTACCTACTGGAAAGCGGATTTCACGTCACTGGAAGCCGTTGCACGAGAGTGGGAATACGAGCAAGGCGCACACGGCTGGGGAAACCAAGAACTACAGAGATACACGGGCCCTGGAGAAAACACCGTAGTGACCCCTGATCATGAACTGCTCATTATCGCCCGAGCGCGCGCATCGCGTTTACCCGAGCCTCCTCCCGGGACTTACACCAGTGCACGTTTGACCAGCCGGCAGACGTTCTCCCGGTCGCGCGGGTACGTACACGCGGTGCTTTCTGTTCCATGCGCATGGGGCGTTTGGCCTGCATTTTGGGCCATGCCCTTCAATGTCAACTGGCCGGACGACGGTGAGGTTGACATCATGGAAACATGGAATGGAAAGGGGACCAATGGATCGTGTCTTCATTGGGGACACTACAATGGCGCAGATTCCAAAAAGCATCGCGTCAGGGATACACCCATTGCGGACATGGACCGGCCGCACGATTATGGGTTCAGTTGGGACGAGGAAGGAAGATGTGTGTGGTGAGCATTTGTATGGAGACGGTGGCGAGCACATATCCAAGGTCAGCACTCCTACTAATGAGTCAACGCAGGTTCGTGGATGGTAAGCCTGCTATGCGAGCGCAAGCGCCCAAATCCATCCGGCAATTCAGTGATTTCCAGGTATTACACTCGTTTACAACCGCGGTCTTGACTAGTCTCATCCTTTGATCAATATAGGTAAAACTCAACGTTGCCTTTGGGGGCAATGTTACAGGCCAACGAACACCGCCAGATGGGGAGTATCACATGACAGTTCATACTGTAGAGATGCAAGACGCACCTCCCGGGGGTTGGGAGGGGATAGGAAAGATATGGAAAAGTGTGCCGGAAGGCCGCACTATGTGACACGATAAACATGATGTTCCACGCGTGCTCTTACATTCGAGATTAAATCGTGTTACAGGTGCATCGGTGCATCGAAGGAATGCTATATTTTCTGGTAGTGTCTTCTCAACTGCTCATGATGTCGATTGTCATCGCCCTACGTAGGAACATGTCACCAACGGATGGTGGCGGGCGAATGCGCAAATGCTCCTCCGGGACGAGGTCTGCTAAACGGTGTGGGCTTCATCCACAGCCCATTTGGTAGCTGTGAGATGTAAGAAGGCAAATCTTGCCTTGTAAGTCGCCAGGCCATTCGTTGCTCCTGATCGTATTCCATAAATTCTCGTGCCTCCAGACGGTCCGAATCTCAGAATAGGGAGCTCACTTCGAAGCTGTGTGATGCGTATTGTTTGTCGCAAGTCATGGATTGAAAGTAAGCATGGCTCGAAGCTTGCGTCTCCTGTACATATGCATATGCGTTGTATTCGCGGATATCGCCATCGTCTGGTATAAGAAAAGCTCGTGTCGCATACCTTCATGTGGAAGGATAACGTACTACGATCCGAATCATCGACTGGACGACCGAGTACCGCGGTCTGATCACCCGCGGGGATAGACTCGTCCGATGCGTACGGCTTCGCTACCGTGCCAGGGGGTAGGCCAAGATGGCGAAGCTCGACAGCCCGCAATGCCTCCGACTCGAAGATGGCCGCAGACAGGTTCTTGATGTTGGCCTCCGCGTATATCTGATAGCGCATTTCCTTCGCGGCTACTGCGTGAAGACGTGTGTGTTAAATTTCAAGTAACCAACCTCGAAGGATATGTTGTTGCTGAACAGCCCGTACGAGTACGGTACGCTAGTCAATAGCTGTGGATTGTTCGAAGAAGGCATGGCTGGAGTGAAGGAAGGTTCCAGTTCCAGGTAGTCCCGTTCTATAGCTACCTGCAGAGTAGCGCCTGTTGCGTCAACCGTCTTTCCGAGCACCGCGGTTTTCGGAGAGCAACAAACCCGTTCAGCGCATCGAATTGATTGCATCGAACTGATCAAAGCCTATCCAGGCGGCTCTTGCCGCACAAGACCTGGCAATTTGCCGGTGTGGATGGGAGACACGGTCATGGGAGCGCTACTGCCTCTGCCGAAAAATCCGATCGGAGTCATTCAGGAGGTTTGCTTTTCGACCATGTAGTACTTATAGCTCTACCCAGAGCCTTTCTGTCAACGAACTCCGTCGCCTGCCGTATCTGCCACATCTTCTTGAACAAGGGCTTTGCGATGAGCCAACGTACAGGATGGAATATTGCCTCGGCAGTGAACGTTCGCAACCCGATTCTTGACGCTCTCGTCGACATAGACACGACGCCGAAGGTATGCCCTAGCTTTCGTATTGACTGCGATCGTGTCTGATCTGTTGCAGACCGACAAACCCTTTATTAGTCTTGCGCTAGGCGATCCCACCAAGAATCCGCTCCTCCAGCCCCATCCTGACGTCGTCGAAGCCGTTGCCTCTGCACTACGCAGCGGTCAGTTCAATGGATATGGACCGCATGAAGGACTTTCAATAGCTCGAGCCGCCGTTGCGGAGTACCAGAACCGCCAAGCGGCAGGACGGGGGGTGCCGGGCGTCAACGTCAAATACGAAACGAAGGACGTCACCATGGCGAACGGTGCATCCGAGGCGCTCGATATTGTTATCAGCGCACTTTGTCCACCGGGAAGCAACATCCTCTTTCCCCGACCTGGCTTTGCGTATAGTGTGGTGACGGATGCGAGGCATATAGAGGATCGCTACTACAATCTTGTGCCCGAACGGGAATGGGAGGTAGATCTTGAGCAGCTGGAATCGCTCATTGATGGGAAAACGCAGGCTATCGTGGTTACAAAGTGCGTATATTGTGCTTTCTTCCGGGTTGCGATCATCACAACACCTACGTATACCGCAGTCCTTCCAACCCCTGTGGTTCGAATTATACAGTCAAACACCTTCTCGAGATCGTCGAAATTGCCAAGCGACACTTCCTTCCCGTCATAACTGACGAGGTAATTCTGTTTGTTCGTTTTTTGTCCTCGCACAAATTTTGACCGTTCGACGTATGAACAGATCTACGGAGACATCGTGTTCGATGATCAAATTTTCCATCCACTCGCGTCCATCTCAACAGATGTGCCCGTAATCACAATAGGCGGTCTTGCGAAGCGGTGGCTTGTCCCGGGATGGCGTATAGGTTCGAGTTTGCCAGTCCTTCTTCCATTCATATTGCTGAGTGTTTTGACCGATCTGTTTATTCTAGGTTGGGTCGCCATTCACGATCCCAACGACCTTTTGAACGTGAAAAAGTTCGACCTCCGTACTATCCTCAAGGATATCTCGCAATTATCACTCGCCCCGTCCGGTTTCACACAAGCAGCGTTGCCCACGATTCTCAACAAGACGCCACCTGAGTTCTACACCCACGTGCTTAACGTTTTGAAAGAGAATGTCGCGCTGCTGATGGAAAAGCTGGGCGCGATCGAAGGGTTGAAGGTGGTAACCCCTCGCGGATCCTTGTATCTTATGGTACGTCTCGATCTCTCGATCTAATGTGCATAGACGAGACGTTTACCAATGTTCCAATCAGGTGGGCATTGAATCGACGGCCTTCGAAGATATCAAAGACGAGTGGGACTTTGTGCAGAAACTTGTCTGGGAAGAAGCTGTGTTCCCGGTCCCAGGTCGTTGTTTCCGTTACGACGGCTACATGCGGATCGTCACGGCTACCAGGAAGGACCACCTTGAGGAAGCATGCATACGACTGAAGGCTTTCTGTGATAGACATAGGAGGAAGGTGTGAACCGCGTTCCGACAAATTGTACGATGATGCGCGTCACGAATACACATTCCAAGCACTTATCACGACGTGAAGATTTTCGATTGCTAATACTTACAAACTCAAAGACAACCCATCCCGGATCCCAACGGTCCCGAGGTGTCCACCTATCACCCGGGAGGGTTGGGGCATCCTCGACTTTGCAAGTCCTGGTCGTCGCTGTATAGCGTTGCGTATAACCACATAGCTCGTCGTATCATAGTTGAGAGCTTACGGTATGCAGCGTTGGGATAGTTGGACTGAGACTGGGGCTGCTTGTGCAGACATCATCATGCTGCGAATCCCGGAGTAAGGATGCGGCTGATACATCCATGCTCGGCTGTCATGGTCACCTCTCCTACTCACAGTATTAGGCAGAACACCGAAATAAGCTGCATTGAAGGCAACTTTATGATACAGTCTTCAAGCTGTAACGCCGGCGTACGAGCGAATTGAAGGAGGTTGTGCGTTAACGCAAATGGAGCCCTAGCAACTATCCAGACGAGTCTTATATACTTACAGCCCGCAGCTGTGAACTCGGTTACAGGACGCTTCGTGGCATTTTTCGTGGCAGCGGTTTGGGTTTCTGAAGCGTCGAAGCTCGGGATGCGAAGGAGCAGGTTACTTAATTCTATCGCAATTCATCACGGAAGCGTTGAGCTGACATTTATACATACTTCCCAGAAGGCATCGCATTTCCCAGTCACGATGCACGATCCCATGCCTCCGGTTCAGCGTACATATGGATAAGACAAGAAGGTTGGGGGGGGGGGTGCAAGCTTTATAATCCACCGGAGATCAATGCGTCTACGGTACAAATGTTCGTTTCATGACCTCCCCTCAAACATTCCAGTAAATAAGTACCAAATAACTCGTAGATAACGATGCTGTAGGTAATGGTCGGATATAATAATACACGCCGCGCTGATACAGCACCGTCTCGCAAGGCGGAATATGAGGCCTCCGAGTATTAATACTAGTGCCCTCCCTGCGCCGTGTCATTTGCACAGACAAGACCAGCGGCTGGCTCTTCCATGTCATCTGGGCTCCGAATGTCATAGATCTGGTACCGGAATGTTCCCCCCACGTCGCCTACGCACTGGCCATGACCATTGGTGCTGGTGGATCCAGACCCTTCCCCTTCCTCTTCGCACCTGTTCCCAAGGCGCCTGGAGTCGCACCCGCACTACCACCGCCAGTCTTCTTTCTCTTCGTCGCCTCCGCGCCCATCACCGGGGACATGCCGCTCGCTTCTTCCCCCACAAACGTGACAGTAGGACTCATAGCAACGTCCCCAGCGGGGCCTCCGTCTGCCTCCTTTGGACCAGGTTCGCTTCCCTTGTCCTTGGGTTCTTTGTCCTTGCCCTTGCTCTTCTTCTTCGCCCCGCCTGACGTCCCGGTGGGTTTCGTGATCTGACCAATAGGACCAATTTTCGTTTGCGCCGAATCTATTGGATCGTCCTGCAGTACAACGAGCGGTGGTATTGGAGGTGGCATCGGAGGTTGCAACAGCGGACTTGAAACGCCGTATATGCCGGGTGGAGGGGGAGGCAGTAAGGATGTGCCCATTGTAGGCGGCAAGGGCACCGGGACGTTGGGCTTGATTGCTTGAACGCGACGTTGATAGTACGATCTGAGTAAGCCGATCTGATCGTCGATTCGGGTGGAATCCAGTGGTATGAAGGGAGGCGGGGGAGGAAAAGGCAGCGGAGGCTCCGCGGGCTTCGCGGCGCTGGAGAAACGCATACTTCAGTGGGCAAGTTTGCATGCAACTCTGTATGACGTACGCAGCGGCCGCCGCTTGTTCTGCTCGGTTCTTTGCTTTGAGCAGCTTCTTCGGTACGCTGAGACTGGACAAGCCAAACTCATCCGCGATACCGAGCTCGCGAAGACCCAGGAAGTCCTCGCCCAATGCGTCTGTGAAGTTGCCCCTGTATTAAACGAATGAGTACGTCGCTAAACGGGCAAAAGACGGAAAGATGCGCACATGACAAAAGCACCGTCTTCGTTCTCGTCCTCTTCCTTCCCGAATAAGGCATCGTCGTCAACGAACGTTTCACCCGCGGTCTGATTGGTCACATCGATCAATATGATGTCTCGCCCTCTATGATCGAGATCAACTCACCGCTTCCGCATACGCGCTTTCGAGTCGTTTCTCGAGCTCGCTCATCCTGGTACCATGGCGAACGATATCGTCCGTAATATAACGTTCCAAGTCTTGAACGCGATTAGTGCCGGACTCGAAGAGCGTGTGTAGTATGATTTCCTGTAACCCGGTTTAGCATAATATCATCCAATGTGGCAACGGATGCGAACCTCAGCGGACATCCGATGTGAGTACTTGTCCGAGAGATATCGGATCGTTCGTCCGACGTTGAAGAGGTATTCCGAGGCTACGCTCGAGATTACAGAAAGAGCGACCTTGGAGGTACCTAGCAAAGTCATGTAAGCGGATGGGTACATACAACGACGCAAACGCGCATAGGTGACTTCGGTACAAGTAATTTACCTTGGAACCCAACGTGCTCCAAAACCTTGCCACTCATCCAATTCAGGCATTGCTCAGCGGCTTGCTCGTTGATTTCCACGTCGCTAGCGGGCTTCGGATGCCGATCTTGAGAAGTCGCCGCTGCATTCTCCCCTTTGGCCTGGCCCATGTGCGACAGTACACCGATAGATCCCGAATCCTGCCCGTTTGGACGCTGCTCTGAACCTGATACCACGTACGTAGGCCGCCATCTCCTGGTCGCCCTTGGTTCCTCCTCTTCAGCGACGTCTTCCAAAGCAGGTGGCACTCCTGGACCTGGCGCAGTTACTGCCAGTGCCTTGCCGCCAACGTTGGGACCACCGATCCCATCTTCTCCTTCAGCACCATCCTCGTTCGCCTGACTTTCTTTGAACTCCAGAAGCTTCCCATGCGCTTGACGAACTCGGCGCATCGTCCGAATGTTGTCGTCCATGATCGTAAGCAAGCTACCTTTCGCCCCTTCCTTGACCTTTTGCGGGTCTTTGGGAGCAGCTTTCCGCTTTTTTGGCGACTTGGGTAATGTTGCTTTCGATTTGAGTGGTGACCGGGGCGGGTCCCGGATCCGCACGTTTCGGACCTGGTCCGCTGGTGTACTTCCGATATTCGTCAATCGCCCTGAAGTTGAAGGCTCTTCGTCAGCTAGCGTGTGATATGTAGGTGGCAGGCCGTTTGCGATGAACGCGTCGCTGCCGACGGCATTCCACCATATGTCGAGCTCGCGCTGGCTAGCCTCAGCAATCTCCGCGCGTGGACGAGATCGTTTACGCGGTCGCGTTTGCGAATGGCTGCTACTGGGCGCAGAAGGCAAGTAAGTTCCTGCGCAAGGATAGCACACACTCAGTCGCACTCACAGTTTCCGCTTGTATCCGAGCTGGCTAGCGTCATCCACGTCCATCTCATCGTGGTCTTCATCTTTGACGACCACATCGGATTCTTCACCCTCGAACGCCTCGGGTACATATTCTCGAATGCCCATTCTCCATTCTCGCGAGGGGCCGGCGTCAAGGCCGGCGTCAAGGCGGGCGAAGGTGGCCATCCCTGCCGGAGTGCGTATCAGCGCGGGAGAGTCAGCGAAGGACGAGGCCTTGTGTCGGGGTTGGGCGATGGCGGTCTTGACGGGAGACGTAGACCGGGCTGATGTATGTGGGACTAAAGGGCGAGGTGAAAGGGGTCGCTGGGAGAACGACGGTCCGGGAGATATAGAAGGTGCGTGGACATGGCCGTTAGCATTAACACCGTTGACCGGCGGTGGCGCGGGTGAGGAGGACGGCGACTTGCTCTTGCCATTCGCGACAGCTCTGTCGTTTGGAGAGCCTGCAGAGGCAGACTTAGAGGAGGATGCTGTCGCCGACGATTGCAGAGCGAGGGCGAGGTTCGCAGGGATGTCAGGGTCAATGCGGTCCTTGCGGTCAGTTATGTGCCTAAGGAGCTTGTCTGCCTTTTCTTTGAGACGAGAAGCACACTGTCGCAGAGGGTGGTTCTAAATTACGCAGTGTCCACAAGTTAGAATAGGCAACTACGGTAGCCGAGGAGCTAACACGTACCTCTGTAGCATTGTAGGTGAAACAGTTGGACCATATAAGGTCAAGATCATCCTGAAACTCGCGCTTGGACTTGTAAGACTTGTTCTTGACTTTCTTGAGCATGGTGCCAAGGTCCATTGGATTCGCGATCACTACAAGGTTGAACAAAGCCACCGTTCACATCAGCATGCTGGTTCGGGCAGCGGGATGGCCACAGTCACCATCGTAATAGTCTGGCGCTTCAGCCTTAGCCACGGGTTTAAGAAAGGCTTCCGCATCGCGGTTGTCCTGCAGCCCGATGAGCTGGTTATAACGAATGTGTGATAACGGAACGAACCATGGTAACTGTGCGAAGGTCGTGGAGGAACGCCTCCAGGGACTCGTAAAACGCATCGGAAAGCTTGTCATATTGTTGGCGCTATCCATCTCCATGAGATCCGGGCGTCAAAGAGGAGGTTCGAACGGGACGTACACGCGCTTCCTTGACGGTGTTGTACAATAGGCGTAGATCCGGGTTTGCGAGCGCGTTCGGCGCGTTCTGTAGGTGAAGTTCGGTATGGCTCGAGGCCAATGCCCGCAGGAGGTTCTGGACAATCGTCAGAACGAGTCGTTACGGATGGATGGCAAGAGTGTCGCGACGAACATTCATGGCGAGGCACGCTAGGCCATGGAAGTAGGTCAGACGTCAGTGTGGGAGGAGACGAATTGGGTCACTTTGGATAAGTCTGATGAAAGACAAATCCAACGTAGTGGAGTTGTCTTACCTTGTTTTACCCGTTTGTTAGATACCTTTGATATTTTCAGACTCCGACAAAGACAAACAATGCAGTATCGCCATTGTTCGACTCTTACGCTTCCCGACGCGTTTCCAACCTTCTTCGTCCACCTCTGACTCCGGGCCGCTAAGATCAACACGAGTAACCACATGCAAGCCACAACATCCTAGGCTACACCACTACAGATCTTTGAATCATGTCTGGCCTCAAAAACTCACCGTTCGGCAAGCGACTGCGTGCCGCCCAGAACCAATCCGACGAAGAAGAACCGCGGAGAACACGACCGCGAGTCAATCCTATCTTTGCCGTCAAAGCGGGCTCTTCATCCACGCCATCTCTTGATTCTAGACCGACGTCTAGCGGGGGAGAGAGCGATGAACACGTACCGCTGGAGAGGGGGAGAAGGAGGAGAGAACAGACGCCCAGCCGCAGCCCCAGTCGGACGCGGCGGGATTACGGCGACAGATTCGTCCCCTCACGCGACGCCGGGGACATGCGCACTTCGTATCACCTCATGGAAGATATGCCCACCACGCCGTCCAAGAGCCGGATCATTCCCAGCGAATCTGACGCGTTACGAGGTGCGTTCCCTCCGTTTTCCTTGCTGACGAATCATTGCTCATCAATTAGCTAGAACAAGCGAACGCCCTTTTTACATCCGTATTGCATACCGAAGTCACCCCTCCCTCACCCCACAGGCCTTCATCACCCGCTCGTCCCCCCGTCACCGCTACTCCTGGAACACCCTCAACACCCTCGCGTCGACGCATCTTCCATTACAACTCGCCCTCCCACCCGACTACACCTACACGCCGATTAGATGATCCCACCGATGCCGTCTATTCGATATCGCCCGTACGCGCAGAGTCACGGCTCATACTCGAATCGCCTCGACGCCAGCTCCGGAGCGTATGCAAGACGCCGTATCGCGTCTTGGATGCACCAGAGCTCGCAGACGACTTTTACCTCAATCTTGTCGACTGGTCGAGCACGAACGTACTGGCAGTGGGGCTGGGTAGCTGCGTCTACCTCTGGACTGCGCACACTGCTGCAGTTAGCAAACTTTGCGACCTTCAGTCGAAGAATGACAGCATCTCTTCCGTTTCATGGGTTCAAAAAGGCACTATGTTGGCGATCGGCACCATGTCTGGGCGTCTTCATATTTACGATGGAGCCACGCTTCAGCTCCAGAGGTCCTATTCTTCAGCTCACGGGCAACGAATCGGTGCTCTAGGCTGGAACTCTCACGTATTGAGCTCAGGTTCGCGCGATAGGATGATACACCATCGCGACACCCGAGAAGCGACTCTCAAACCGTTCAAGAAGTCCCAGGGCCATCGGCAAGAAGTCTGCGGGATTCGATGGAGTGGCGATGGCGGCGTCATGAACGCTACACTTGCTAGCGGTGGAAACGATAACAAGGTGTGCATTTGGGACTTGAGAGGGTCGAACAGGCGGAGAAACACGAGTGTAGGGACGAACAGTGGGAGCGGCACCGAAGACGGTGTCGGAGATGCCCCTTTGTGGAAGTTCCACGAACATACCGCTGCTGTCAAAGCACTAGCGTGGGATCCCCACGTATCCGGTATACTGGCCACAGGAGGAGGAACACAAGACAAGCACATCCGGTTCTGGAACGTCTTCAACGGCGCTATGCTCAACGAGCTTGACACTGGCTCGCAAGTCTGCAATCTGGTTTGGTCCCGCACCTCCCACGAACTCGTCTCCACCCACGGTTTTTCCTCTACCACAGCGCAGAACCAGATATGCATATGGAAATACCCGAGTCTCAACATGGTAGCAAGCTTGACGGGGCACACCCATCGCGTCCTTTACCTGGCCATGAGCCCCGATGGAGAGACGATCGTTACCGGCGCCGGCGACGAAACCTTACGATTTTGGAACGCTTTTCCTAGTCCGAGGGAAGGGAAGGAGAGGCAAGGGAAGGAATCTATGTTGGACTTTGGCAAGCTCATCCGATGATCCAACTTTCCGCACTTCACCAGGCATACGAGTCCCCTGTCTGTCCTCCATCCGCTTGCTCTTATGACTTTGTCCTCGGGATACACCTCGCATGGTACCGAGGATCCTTTACGACATCCGATATGCACACCAATACCCATCAAATCAGCCTCACAGTCCATGGTTGGTCCACGCGCTGCTTCCAGCGGTACTATATACTATTCTCTCATATTTCACCTCACTCACGCACTCGACAATGTACCCTCATCTACGCCACCACAGTTCATCATGGTCTTTATCACATTAACCATAAATATAAGTAGTTATGCTTGTCCTTACACCGTCTCTTCCAGCCACCTTAACTATGCTTCGTCTCTTTTGGATCTTGCTGTTGTTACAGGATTTGGGGCTGGCCAGTATCGTATCGCGGAATCACAATGGACAAGTATAGACTCACCTATGCAGCAAGTGTAATTATAGGTTGAAACATAAGCGCACAGATCAAATCGTTCGGACTCCGATGACCTACTCATAGGTAGCGGCGTGCGCACTTCTTCCAATAGAGTGCCATGTCTCATTTTTCTTTGTCCTAGGCTCTCTCTATATCGAGCTTCAGCTGTTGTGCAGCTTCTCGCACTCTGCTCTCAGCCGGACATACGTGGAATCTGTAGCATCCCGGCACCTTCGGCTGAGATGTAATGCGGATGTGCAGTCCTGAACGCCACTCCGGTGGCCATGGAGGATCCGTAGTGAGCAGTCGGTTCCCGACGGATTCTTGACAAGGTGAATATCTTTACGAAAGATCATCAGCCTCACGGATTCCTACCACATGTCGTGCGCTACCATTGGCAGCAGTTCGTTGCTATGAATAGGGAATACAATACAATCGTCAAGCACACTGGAACTGCCATGCGCATGGACCGCGGTTCCCATAAACTGACTCAATCCGACATGCATCCTTGCGCCGTTGGTTACGGGACTTCGAGGATGATCAGCTTCTTGCGAGGCGGTGCTATTGAATCAGGTTAGATCTGTGGTAAGATGTATACCCATTTAACCCAGACGTGTTCCCAGCGCAGTAGGGAATCCTATGAGGGCTGTTTCTTGTGATGTTCTGTGTTGCCTGTCCCGGAACGAAGGCTAAACTTAGTGTATCGTTGACTCACGGTTCGCTTCGTCCATCATCTCGAGATGTCGACTAACCACCGGCCGAGTTCAGGTCATGCGTCAAACCGGCAACCAAGGATCTCACGCGTGATCGGAAGGTTCGTCATTCGCGCGGAAAGCCGGGAACTTCTCTATGTAGAATGATTCTACTTCGGTGTCACGGCCACTGGAATGAACCCACGATCTATACAAAGATCTTGTTATAACGCCCGAACGAGCCGCGGCATTAGCCCGGAGCTCGTACCTGTCCACCACCTGGTCACCACTGCACTTCGCTGGTTCACGCTTGCGCCTTTGCAGAATGTCGTCTGCGAACATGCCCGACTTGGGATTGACATTGGGAGCTCTGTATGTTGGGGTGATGTTCTCCGTATAGTGAGTCATATCGAGTCCACGCCAGGCCAACCGTTTTTCACACGGGAGATACCTGCCAGTTTGTTCGGCATTGCTACTCTACAAACGTACAGCTACTTCACGAATTTTCCAGATGATGCACTCTCACTTAGATATTTGGTAAGCAGTTTCAGTTTCGTTTGTACTCCTTAGAAAGAACACTCGTGCAGGTGTCGACGTTGTGGGTTCTCGATGGCGCACACTGTGCAATCATCGCGCACACCGCCTACTTCTGTCAGTCATTTAGCATGCATGCATTTTCCGTACCGGGGCTGATGGGTTCCGTCAAGATACAATCGAGAACTACTTCAAACCCCAAGTCCTGACGACCGGGGTGTGGTCTCTGGAAATCAACACTGCTTTTTCCACGGTGGTAGGGTGCGCTTGCCAAGCATTCTTTACCGTCAGAGTCTGGGTCCTCGGCCGCTCTTATATCGTCACTGCGATATGTTCGCTTCTGTGCCTGGCAAGGTTGGCCTTGGGCATCGTGACCACGTATGGTGCACTTCATGACGGCAGCCGCAATATCGCGCTTTACGAGAAAAATTTCGGTTGGAGTATCCGTGCTGGGTAGCTATCAATGATCCCCTGCCTATCGTAATTACTTGTCTATTGATCGAACTCAGCTTGATTACCTCAGCTGTAGCAGACTTCTGCATAGCAGCAGCCCTTGTATTCTACCTATCCCCAAAGCGACACGGACTCAAGAGCACTCGGCAAATAATTGAAAGGATACTAAGTAAGTACCTCCAAATATGAAACGTAGTTATGACTTATCTATGTTTAGCATTCACTATCGGTCGGCGAATATGTGCAAACACGTTTGATTGTCGCTAATGTCGGAGAAATAGAAACTTGCTTGATCACATCGTCTGCCACGATCACCGATGTCATATGCGTACGTTATTCTTGTGTCCCGGACCGAACTCGCAATGACAGTCGTTCTTCATCAGTTCGCCACAATGCCGGACAACTGTGAGTTTTCTGCATAAGCGTTCAATGTTGCGAGACTGATTTTGATCTTTATTGTTAGTTGTGTACCTTGGAGTATACTTCGTTGCTTCTAAATGTGATTTGCTTATTTGTACCTCTCACGCATCAAGAGGCTAATTTACGAAACGTGCAGTATACTTCAATGCTCTCCTCACCTCGCTCAATGTTCGGCGGACACTGAGAGCTAACTATATCGCGACCACAAGTATGGAGCTCACCGCCTCATCGGCTGGCGTTCACTCAACACTTGTCCGTTCACCAAACCCGAGGCGCCAATCAGATCAAATTGTCAGTATGTTGTTTGATTTTCCTGCGCGGGTTCTTGACGCTGTACAGGTTTTGAAGCCTTCAGCACCTCGCATACCTGATTTCGTCGTTGACGACGATTTCGATGAACGGTCTTTCGTGCGGCCCAAGCATGACGTGCATTCTGTGCCAGTGGAGGAGCGAACTGAGGATGGGGGCCATTAGGTAGAACTTACCTATCGCGCAGTAATATGTCAGATTCGATGAACTGACCTGACAGCCTTACTATTTTTTTCGGTGTAGAATTGTTATCCACCAGCCGTACCTCATGCAGAATGGCTCCTGTCAACCAGCCAGTGCATTCTGAGCTCTTTTATTGATTGTCATCGTCATGAAACTCCCTTACTACATAGAGGGTTTTATGACCATCGTTCTCTGGCGGCACTGCATTCGATATCTTCGACCACCCCGCTGTATACTGACTTCCATCCGACAAGACATTGCGATACAAAGATTCGTGTACTCTATTGTTTATGCATGGAGCTTCTTCTTTCATTCTGTTTTGGGACTGTGGTCGAAATGACTGGTCATGCGGTCAGTTGGCACCATATTGCCACGGCGGGCGTCTTCTCCCCAAGCTCTACGCATGGGAAACCAAGTCTTTGATAAAAGATGTTATTGATAATCCTCCACGGTCCGTAGGTCATTGCGTTGAACCCGTCACGCCCCCTGGCACAACATGAGCACGACCTATACGCACATCAAAGGAGAGATCGTCGTTTCCGCCCAGGTGAAGCATGCATTTCGGCGAGAAACGCCAAGGGCTGAGCTATACTCTCAGCTCCATTGTAAACCGGGGCAGGGAAACGAGGTCGCTGCATGGATCGAAAGGCTCAAGGAAGATGCCGCCGTGAACGAGCCTGGCACGATCGAGTATTCTTTCGCGCGAGACTCCCCGGACGGAGACGTGTTCGCTGTCTGGGAGCGGTTCGCGGACGTCGATGCTATGAAAGCGTAAGCGCATCCGCCAAGGAAACAGTAGTGTCACTCACCCGTTTCGTCGTCAGGCATGCTACGGCACGATTGATGCAGGAGTTTATCAGGTGCGACTTACTAGCCAAGGTACCGCGATTGCGTGAACATGCACAGAGCCGATGCTGAGCAGTCGAATAGCCACCAAGTCATACGTTCTACTGCGGTAGGATCTCTGGAGAAAATGCGTGAAACTTCAGTGGGAGCATGCTGTGGGAACACTGTAGGAGAAGCCCATGACTACACTGGTAAAATCGGGGTTGTATGATATCGCAGTACCAGCACATCAGCGGGTCTACGAACACAGATGCTCATCCATGTAGGACAATATCTGGAACAGTGCAATGCATGCCTAGCTCAAAGGCAATTCCATCTTGCAAGTTGTCGTACCCCACGAAAGACCGATGGACGCGCGTGATGCGCGCCGTTCGAGTCCGACGGAGGGTATTTGCTTTTTCACGTCCGTTTCCCCTTTCGTCCCACTGGCAGCGGCTCGAAGGCGACGATTAGGCAAAGGCAAAGGACACTAAGATATATTACGCGCACGCAACGCGATCGTACGCTAGAGCACGATACTTGATATTACGATGTAAAGTGTGTATGATGACTGCACGTTTGAGTGTATGTACGAATACAAAGGATCTACAGCGTGAACGTGAAGCGTACGAGGATATATGATACATGTTCAATGCATAATGGGGGCAAGATGTAGCCTTCCCGTGATCAGGGATGCAGTGGCGGCGTGCAAGGATCGTGGCGGTCGTGATATATGGATGCGCTGGTGGTGATGGTGGAACTCCTTGAGAGCTGCGTAAATTGCGTGTAGAGGGTATACCTGATAGGGTTTTGGGTCGAAGCGAAAGAAGAACGCAGGAGCGGAAAGAGGGAAAGCATAGAATATGCAACAGGCGCGACGAAGAGAGGCTAGCACCGGCGCGACGAGGAGAGGCTAGCACCGGCGCGAGCCCATCCGCGGGGTGACGCATTCGAGACGCGCACGCTCGAGGATTTCGAGTCCATCCTCGAGCCCGAAGCCATCGCGGTCTACGTCAACGTCGTCGTCGCCGTCGAGCCGAACCATGCGCGCGTCCGCCTCCTCGCCCACGTCGAGCGTGAACACCAGCACGTTGTCCTTCGAAGGGACGAGCTCATCGAGCCTGCCCGGCGTCGGCGGTGGCGTCAACGTGGATGCGCAGGCCTCTTCGTCCACGTCGAGGTCGAGGAAGGACGTAGGCATGTCGCTCGGCGGACGCGGCAACAAGGCGCAAGGAGGGGCTCGACGTCCGCGCAGTGTCTGCTGTTCGTCACTCTCCGAATACGAGCATGTCGATGACCGCGGCGCATCCGCGTCGGGCGCAGGAGAGATCTCCCGGGACGCACGGTCCTCCTCCTCGAGGGCAAGCGTGGCCAGCGGGGAGCGTGGCATCTCCCGGCGCGGGCTGAGAGGCTCCGGAGTCGCTGGAGCACGGTGCGCGCGCGCTTTCCCCCAGGCCTGAAACCGAGCGCTGAACTCGCTCGGTGGAGTGACGGGCGTGGAGTCGGCGTCGGGGTCCGTGGGCGAACGGTGAGGCCTGGTTCGGACATCCGACGGACTGTGTGCCACTTGCCACCGTACGTTGTGTGGAGGCAAAGGCAAGTGCGGGTCTGGGAGCCCGTGCGTGTATGCATGCTCGGGCGGGGGCGGCACGGCCGAGCGCTCGCGATCGAGGTGCGCGCCGATGTACGGGTAGTCGACGCGAACCGTGTCTTCGGGTGTCGCGGGTTCTTTCTTGGGCCTCTCCTTCGCCTTGGACTTGCTCCGCCGGAAGCGGTTGAGAGATGCCGTGCGGAAGACGGAGACGAGGGACGTTGACGAAGGCGAGGAGGGCACGGCGAGCGGTGGCGCCGAGGTTGGCGTGGGCGGCAGTGGCTTCTTGACGACAAAGGAGCGGGTATGCAAGGGAGATTGCGATTGAGAGTAGTGCGAGGAGGCGGATGTGGTGAGCGACGTCAGGCTGGCGCAGCTCGCGCTGGGGCTGGGTCCGAACCCGTACGATGTGCGTACTGCGACGAGATGCATTCGTTAGATGCGTGCCCATGCTC